GTGTGTTTCCATGAGTATAGTGTTTGACATATTCTTGTTTCTGCATTTACATGTAAGTAGTGTTGTCAGCGTTAATCTCATTAATACAACGTTAACATCATAACCGCTTTAACGCGGCAAATCTCCGTTAGCGAGTTAACGTGGATCGGCCGGTGCGAGGGCTGCATGGCGCCAACGTGTTAGCGCGGTTAGCTCGTTAATGCGTTAGCGCCCTCGCACGGGCCAATCCATCTTAACTCGCTAACGGGGATTTGCTGCGTTAAAGCGGTTATGGCGTTAACGTTGTATTAACGAGATTAACGCTGACAACACTACATATAACACAACATGAAATAAATCTTGTATCTGTATCCTGTTTGTATCTTTCTGTATGCTACGTGTCTAATTTCCTGCATTGATTATAAATGACAATAAAATTAAATAATTTATTTTATTTTGTTTTATTCATTAACTACTTCAGCATTTCCTGTGTAATTAAGGAGTTAAAAGCTCTGGTATGTAATAAATTATATTTTTCACTGAGACACAGAAGATATTACTGACAAACAAAATTAGATATTTAAAACACTCTATATTCACCTTAAGTTTGATTCCAGCCATCCAGATCACCACAGCGTTTCCTGTGATGCCGAGGACAACGGTCACTGTGTAGAGGACAAGCTTGATGTTTCTAATGATGATGTCATCATTGTCCTTGGTGGACAGAGATGCATTGGAAGACATTAAGTTGCTGGAAAAAAGAGAACTGAAAAGAAAATTCAAAATATTAATAACCATGTAACTCCTGATCTGACACTGAGCACAAAATCATAGGATTTTCTCATATGTCATTCTATAGTATCATACTTCCTGACTAACAAACAAACAAACAGATAATTGACTGAAGCCTAACAGGAGAGGTAAATCTGGGAGTGCAAGTCATCTTAATAGATTGTTATCTTAGAAATAATTTCAGGCAAGGCCAAATCAGTTTATATAAGCAAACGTTTTCATGAACTTATTT